TTGACAAATGGCTTCCTTACAGTTACTGGCATGTGGTAGTTCTTGAAGTGATCTGAGCACCAAGTGAACAGATGTTACAGTGTCGTCAGCTCCTTTTCCCAGTGCCTGTGACAGCTGTTCAAGATCCTTTATTATGTGCAGCCTGAGAAACAAACTGACATCCTCCACAGGTGGCTGGATTATCTGTTGAACAACCTGAAAAAAATAGTGGATAATAGCATCATACTACATGCAAGACAGCAACATCGTTCATTGAGTTTAACTATTTTGCAGAATATTAATCAGTGAGCTACACACAACCTAAAAAAAATGCTAGTATCACCAAGTCACCAAAAGCTGCTTAAATATTACAGCTACTGTACAAAATAGCTTTAGATGCTTTATTTATGATGGTTAAGAGCCTCTAAATTAGAGCTCACCTGAGGTTTCTCTGAGGCTCCCAGCATCATGGCGAGATGTGTAACTAGCCGGACCAGAGTAAAGGGAGTCAGAGACATGTTTTTGGTATCTAAGGCATCTGGGTTGTTTCTCCGTTGAGGGTCTCCCAGAATGTGACCGGGACGTGTTTGATCCCTAAAACAACAGATTTGCATGAGTAAAAAGTAGAGTTGGTCTCCCCCCAGTGCAAAACAGGTGACCTTTAGAAGCGCAAGCACACATGTGAAAGTTAATATAGTTAATATAATATTACCCTTGTGCTGCTTTTAGAAAATTAAATTAGTGACAATTAGTTCACAAGGTTATACTATGCATAAAATATGTATTGTTTTTAAGAGTATACTTGAAGTACAGCCATAACAAGACAAATAAACCCACTCTAACAAAAACAGACCAAACTGCTGCTGTTCTAAAACAAACTGAACTCTGCTTCTTATATTACACACGCAGCATCTACAATCTCAAAAGAATCTCTGGAAGAAAAACCAGCAAACACAGCTAACAAAGAAATTAAAGAAAAAAAAAACTGTTACTCTTTCTTTGTGGAAAATTTGATATCACTATGTGACAGCCTCTTTTTAATACATACTGGTTGTGAATACTAACCAGTTTTTCTGCAGTATCCATGAAAAAAAACCTGAACTCATTCTTTACAGTTTTTTTTTTAAAACTAAACCTTTCCAACACAATGAATACACAGAGTATGTAATGGTACTGGGTCTGTGACCCAGTGTTTTGTGTGTTTTAGTTTTATTCTTTGATTATTGTTATTTTCTCAGTGTTTCCTGGTTTATTTTGAAACAGTCTTTGTCATTGTGTTTAGTGTCATTTCCCCTGTGGCGTCATTATGTTCATCCCCATGTGTTTCCACTTCCCCTCATCACCTCCTGTGTGCATTTAAGTCCTCTGTTTTCCTTTGTTCATTGTCAGGTCATCTGTTTATTCCACATCATAGTTCTCACAGTCTTCATAGTTTTTATAGTTAGTTTTCCAGTTTAGTTGTCATACCTGTTTTGCCTTAGCTTTTGTGTTTTCTCCTTTCATCAGCCCAAATAAAGTCTCGCTTTTGTTTAAAGATTCCTTTCTCAATGTTTGCTTTTTGGTCCATTCTCAAAACACATCACCGTGACAGAGCAATTCAATGATATCAAACTACTGGTCGGAATCGTCTCGTCAGAATTTTCTGTTCACGATGCAGTCTCATTGTTAAACTTTTTAAATGCACAAAAATGAAAACTTATAAGTTTAAAAAA